CCATTCAAGCTCCCAATCTCATCTGTTAGAGGCACAATGTGCAGCAAAATAGAAGCTTTTTCAATGATTCCTGCAGAGATGCCATCCCACCACTGTTATTACTGAACATTCTGTGTCAGTGAGAGAAGTGCATAAACATAGGGTACTGACAGACCCCCTGTCTCACACAAGAATAGCAGAATTATCCCGCTTGTTCTTCACCCAAATGAATCATTTGGGGGTACAAGGTTTGTCCTGGCGTGCAAATAATGGGATGTTTCGTACAGTCCCAATGTAAATTGTAGTCAGGTGTAATATCCAAATAAACATTCATTGAGTTCTGTCCAAAATGAAAATAAAAATGTGTGTGCAGCATATCATACGTTTTTAGCTTTATGTTAGTTTTAAGATATCATTGGAATATGTAATAATAAGTATTCGTTCGTTTTGATGAACTGTTTGGGTCACATAAATACAGAAAAGGGATAAATCAAACACACCCTATGATTAAAAAAACTTAAACACATTCTGAAACATATTAAAGCATATTAATTCTGAGTTAGTATTTCTTATATGAAGTTTTTTTCCTTATATGATTTTTTATCCACTCCAGTGAAATCATTATTTAAGTGAATAATTGTTTGCAATCATTTACTCCTGCACAGCACTGTTATGGAAGCCCCACAGCTTTCCAACCACGTCAGGCATATGCCTGAAGTGACCCAAATCCGATTTTTTTTGCCCATGTGTCACCTGTATCTGATCTTTTCATGGCAACCTGAATAATACAGATCCGATTTTTTTCCAATGAGACTCAGGCCATTTAGCTATATGGTCCTGAATCAGATCAGAATCTGATCTTTTCAAATGCAACCTGTGTCTGAAAAGCCAGGTCACAGTCATCCTACCTGAACGTCATTAATACTTAACAAAGTTCACTATTCTGCGTCTTGCTACGCAAAAGCAGAAACAACATCCATGGCGAACGATAATGCAGAGAGCAGTCTTTTGTTTAAACGACGCTAAAAAGATCGCTAGATGCACTTCAGCATTACCATCCATACTTCTGTAAACACAGAGCACGCTTTCTTGTGACATCATTGCGTCCTCTACTGTGCATGCGGGACACTTAAGCTGTATGAATGCAGTTGACACAGGAGATCACATACAAGTCGCATATATTTGAAAATGGGAACGGCAACTCAAAAAAAATCTGATTTCACAGCGGATTTTCATAGATTCGATTGAGCACCAAGGCGTGCGTTGTAAACATAGCCTTTGACTAGGCCACTATAGCACCTTGATATATTTTCCTTTTTGACATTTTCATTAGGTTATTTGCTGCATTTTCAGTTTCTTCTTCCTGGTTTGATTATTTCGTAAAATCGTTTAATCACTCCAGGAGGACCGTGTCCTGCAATTCAGTGACCTGGCGCATTCAGCAGGTTTTCCTTAGAAAACTTTTTCCAGTTTGATTGTAACAGCTGACTGACTTACAGTAAGATGATGTGCTGTGGATTGGTACTACTTAAATAAACTGAATTAAACTGAATTGAAATAGAAGCCATGTTTTATAAACGCCAGACAACTTCTCTTCTGTACTTTCAAAAAGTTTTGAGTAAGACTAACATAAGACATATGATTAAGACATTCATTAACTTTTTTTTTAATAGAAGAATGATGAAAACTGAGTCGATTTAAATCTTATTGCTGCCTACAATAGTAAAAATTTATTACTTAGATAATAAATAATGATTTATTTTTCATCCAGTCATTTTTCAGTAACAAGGATTCCCAATAAGGCCTAATCAAATTTGAACTGTATCTGCCTTGAGCTCACACAAATCATAGTCGCACAGAGGCTGTTATATGCAATGCATTCTGACAGCCCATTTGTATTCTGTGTGTGACACCTTGAATCTGCATCCAAATAGGCAATGAAATATTTATGCAGCAAAACGACGATGGTGCTTCTCATTGTCAATTTGCTTCAACACAAAACTCCATTAGAAGGTAGGTGCATTCCTAGCCAGGCAGATCAGAAGAGAAACGGCCAATGAGGCATCAGAAAAGGAGATACAGGGAAAGAGTATCAAGGAAGAGGAAACCCCCTCTGGGCAAATTCATGACCAGCATTCTTGAATATTACTCTAAAGATTAAAATCGTTACCAAAGTCAGAGGTCTCTGGAGCAAATACTAGCCTCCAAGAAGATTTTTTTAATTAATCATATTTTGATTTAATAGCAGGTATCTCATTCTTTAAGTTGTTGTTCTGCACAAAAGTGCAAACAATATTAAAAACATATTCAGAATTTTGCTTGATTCTCTCTACATGAATAAACATTGTGCATTGTTTGTTAATACTAGTCACCTAAATAGTTAACACTATAAATCAGTTTTTTGTGAGTCTGACTTTGATTTTAGCATATGCAGTTTTCTCTATCAAAAAAATTATACATAAAAAGCATGTTAGTCAAAAGTATGATGGCTCTTTAAAAACCTCTCAAATAAAGAGATATTTTAAAGTTGTGTTTAATGTGCTGTTCTCACATGTTCCATGAAATGAATTAATAAAGAAGGTGCTTTTTCTCAATAAAAAAACTCTGTGGTCTGTAACAAAATGGAGATTTTTAACCATCTGTGAACATAGTTGAGACATTTGTTACACCGACATATATGGATGTATCCCTGCAAAAGCTTTCTGTATGTCTGATTAATGTTTTGAAGTTCACATTCCTCACTGTGACATGTTACAACGGAGCAATCGCTCTCTTTGTATGTTGCCTTCGGGGGAGTAAAGTGCTTGAATACACCATGCATACTTCAGGTATACGTGAGAAAACTCAGACATTCTGACTTTGGAACAGATGTGGTTGAGGACACTGTTAATACAGGATCCATGGTGTTTTCCTTGCATGACAAAAATGCACATATGTTTAAAGACAAAACATTGACAATAACTGTAAGAAAATCACTGTATTTCCATTGTCATCAGCTTCATTTGCATATTGCTTTATTCTTACTCTACATTCACAATGCAATTATAGTAGTTGAAGGCATTTTTTTATCTACCGTATAAGCCATAGACAGGACTCAGAGAAGTCATGAACATTTGATTCAACAAATCTTTTAGAAACTGTCTGAACTTTGTTTCAAAATAAGTAATTTAGGCTGCAGCTTGTGAAGAGACAGTAGTATGATGCATCAGTTCAGGTAATTAATTCAGACATAGTACTAAACTAAAGTGCTAACTAAAGAAAAATACAATGGCCAGGCAATTTAATTTGTATAGCACAATTTAGTACATGGACTATTCAAAGTGCTTTACATAAATTAGACAATATAATTGAAGAAAAATAGAAGCAAAGTAAAAGGAAATAAAAGTAAAACATGATGCATTCTATTCCTGCAGATAAAAAGGGCTAAGGCAAAAAATAGAGAACAATTTGAACCAGCAAATGAACTCTATAGCAAGCTCCTTTCTGTAAACTAATTGAATGCCAACTTTCATGACTCTTATGACCTACTCTTTGGTAAAGCTACCAGCCTAACAGAAAATACAGTCTCCTTATTTTTGTTCTTTATAATGTTTTATCAAATCATGTTCAACAAAATAATGACTTTTATTTTATTCTAACACACAAAGTCTGACTGAACAATGCAATGACTTACACCAGGGGTGTGGCTGATGTCAGGCATTAGGGTTTAGGCAGAATTCAGGACTGCAATAAATTAAAATATAAAAAAGACAGGCTGAGACATGTATTCTTCATTTTTAAGCTGGTAAAAAACACTTTTTTAGATTTGAAAACTGTGTTTTATACATGCTGTAAATATGTTGAAATATATAAGAAAACACTTGAGTAGCTCAATCATATTGGATTGACCATTATGCTGTCCAGCTAGTGGTACTAAAAACATATCTAAGCTCCTTTTTCAGTTTTAGTTATCTGGATCCAAAGCTGCTCTAAGCTGGGGGTTTTCATAGGCTTGTTTTTCCCCTGTCGCCTTAAAGTGGTCCAAAAGATTACACTTAACAGGTGTCACTGTCCTGAGCAATCTGGTCCACACCAGACACTGAGATTAAGCTCAGCCTGTCCCTGGAGAACAACAGCTTAAAAATCAAAGATGCTGGTGTCCTTGTCAATAAAATCACACATAGAGATGACTGGTGCTAAATGAACGTGTCCCTTCAGGTGAGGCTCCATGAAGCTCTCTACCTCAGGAATGTGTCGGCACTGTTATTCCCCACCCACCCCTCACTGCTACCCCCAGCCCTGCCATTGTGAAAGAGAGGAATGCTTTTCAAAATGTTCCTCACAGAACGGGATGTTTAGGCGCTAAACCATCCCTCAGGAAAGTTTGAGAGCCAAATGTTTACTTGTCTTTCAAAACCAATTAAAATGTTCGGATCCAGTTCAAAGAATAAATAACATTCTGCAAAAAAGGCAACAATATGCTGTATAGCAAAGCTGAGATACTTTAACAGTTTATCATAATGTGGTTTGAGTTGATGTAAGGTGGGAGTTAGTTCTTAAGCGTACAGATGTAAATGTTAAACTAACAGCACAGTAACTAAGGAAACTCGCCTTAGTTGCATATATTTCTCCTGGAAAAAATGGCTGTTAGGGATTTGTGAAACAATTTCTTCTTCTGGGTAAGATAAAAATTAACAAATCCAAAAATACAATCCTTTTTTATTTGCAGTTTTTTTAATTTCCCTGGAGTTCCTCTTCGTTGCCTTCAAAGTATAAAACATGGTAACTCTATTATGCTAATAGAACTATTGTTGTTGATCACATTCAGTTTAAGAATATAACTAACATAGGAATTCGTTTTTTTTTTTTTCTTTTTTATATTACACTTTTTTTTCTTGGTATTAAGACCTTTCTGTATGGTAAGGTGTGGCTGGTATTTCACACACGAAAAAAGGGTGGTCCTTCTCAGGTGCTTTCATATTATTGGTTGGTGTAGTTGTCTAAATCACCACCTGAATGAGGTAGAGAAAAAGTCAGAGCAAAACTTGTCAGAAGTATCTTCAGCCTCCTTCAAGCCTGAGCTTAGATTCATCGTTGCGTGGCATCAATGGGAACTATAAGTAAAATAAGGTGAGTATTGCATTCTTAGCACGTTTAACGAATTAGATAGTTGCATATTAACTTGGATCGAGCTAAAAGGGCTTGTTGCATTTTTCTTTATTTCTAAGATGATGCAACAAATGTTTTTTTTTTTTTTTTTGTAAAGAGAAGCAGAATTAAAGGTCAATTTTGAACCCAGAATATAAGCAGTAAAAGGAGAGACTTTTAGAAGGTTGCAATCTCTTTAAGCAGATTTTCTTTTTTCTATTTATTCTTATTTTTTGCCTAAGCCCACATTTCTGAGCTAGTCTGATTGTAAGAGAGCTTGAGAGGGACAGTGTTGCATTCATATTCCTGATGACTAAGCCAGAACTCAGCTCAGACTAGAGATAACTTGTCAGAGCATGAAACCCTGGAGCCAAGGAGCAGGACAGGCCCGGTCTCGCTCCAGTCTAACGTAAAACTCAAGAAAAAAGGGAGAGGTCGACATTTGACTCCAGGCACACTCGCAGCTACCTCCTCAACCTCAGAGGCTTCCTCATTAATCATGGAGTCCCAACTGCAAACTCTGCACCTGGTTGCAGAGGTGGCCTCTATCTGAACAATTCACATCTGAAAATAAAGCTCAAGGTTTCTCAGTGAAACTAAGGAGTCGTTGTTTTTCCAAAAAAAAAAAAAAAGACTGATTAGGTTTCATTACCTTGGGGAAATTTCGTGAATCTGAGGGAGAAAGAAAATCTAAGTATGAAGAAGGATGATCTGACAGTGTGCATTTGTCTTTTTTTAATTTCAGAAACTGCAGGAATATGCCATGTGTTCTATCCTTCATTCCACCGGAGTCTGTATCTGTATTTAACCAGATTTCAGTGGTTTGAAGTGTAAAAGACATGGACGCATGACTACAGGAGCCGACCACAAAGAATCCCTTTAGTTTGTTCCTGTTATTTAATGATAATCATCCGTTTTTAACAAAGTATTACAGATTTCTTTTTTTTGCTGCATTTTGTGCTACATATGCAAGCCTTGGATTGGATTATTTTGTGAAAACTGTGATGTGACATGAATAAAATTCCTGACCTCCTGCCCAGTGTTTTTTTTTTTTTTTTTATAGCGCAACATCTCAAACCATTGCTGAACCATTATACCACCCACTCCTAAGCTTCTGTGCTTCTCAGCCCCTGAGCACTTTTTTTTCATTAGCCTGCATGGAGAATTTAAGACTGTAGCCCACACAAACAACCTTTACTTCTTGGCAGATGAAGCTTATTAACAATTTAAAACATGCCCTGGCCATAGCCCTTACAATGATACCATTAAATATTTTCTCCCTGCTAAACAGATGAATCTCTAGCACTTCCAGCACAATACTCTAATGTTCTGCAATGGAAAGAAAAACAGACATGAAAAGTGTTTGCTTTTTTATTTCTCTGCACTTCACACTTGCTGCCATGTTCACTCTTTCTAAAGTGTGAGATATAATACCATGTAAAGACAAGACAGTATGGGTTTTCAAAATGTGTAAAGCACAAATATCGAAGGATAAACCAGGCCTTATCTGGACAGAGCTTTCAGTTTAATTTTAACAGCAGAGTTCTGCAGTCAAAGGCTTTTAAACAGGATATCCCTCTAAAGTCCAACAATCACATATATTTTCTAACATACAAAACCATAAAAGTGAAGTACACTTAAGCTTTTGTATGCATGTGAGAACATTTGCATGCATATATATTCACCATTGTTTTTGTTCTCAATAGTTTAAAAATGCATAAATGCATGAATCTTTCAGTCAAGAAAAATTAAAAAGAAGCAAATTAGAAAATTTATTATAAGTGCATGGTTCAAAAAAGCACAATGGTTTAACATTACAACATAAACTTTTATAAATTTGAGTATGATGTCAAATGACAGATTTCTACGAAGTAGTGTTAAATTGCGGTTGACGTAGTTTCCATGTTTAGCAAATGCTTAGCATATTAAAATTTGAAATTAGATTTTGCATACAGGTCCAATTATTCTGTAGCCAGAAAATAAAGTTCAATGCAAATAAATGCCTTCAAAATTCAACTAGTTAGGAACAAAAAATAAATCAAACTTGACCAGCATGGAATTCAATCTCGATATAACTTCGAGGAAAGCCTCAGAGGATTGCCAAAGAAAATCAAGTGACAGAGAAACAAGGGGAAACATAAGACAGGTCTGGTTTCTGACCAGTTCAAAACATGGTAATTTTGAAAAAATAATGACTTCTTTCAACATGTATCATCAAAGATATTTAAAGATTTGAGAGAATATTCCATGAATGCAAATCTACTCTACTAAGGCCACTCACCAGAACTGTCAGCCCGACCACAGAGAGCTTTATTTAGAGAACAACAATAATTAAGTGGCCCTGTCATATGAATAGACTTCACTAATAACAAAAGCTGATACTATTTCCCCATCAAAGTTCATGTTTGAAGTTTAAACACAGTAATCTACAACACCCATGTTTAATTTTAACAATTAATATGAGAACAAATGCTGTGCTAGATTTTTAATTTATTATTAAAATATTAATTTATCTAATTTTTGTGGTTAACATTTAAATTGGATGTCCAAGAATGTTAGAAAACAAGAATGTTAGAAGACACAAACAGAATGTCATAAACAGATCTAATAAGAGGTATTACATAAATAAAGGAAGCGAGTGGGCGGCAACAGTATCCATGGTGATTAGTTACTGAGACTTAACTTTATCTTTCGAAAAGTTCAAGACAGTCATTACAGTTTGTAAATAAACAATGATGAAAATTAGCAGAACATACCAACACTTAACAGCTGACATGAAGGTCTGTAAAATTTACGTCTTTTTTCTCTTTCTGTTGCTGAACAAAACCCAGGAGGATGATACAGGTAAGAAAAACAGACAGTAGGGACATTTACGCCTACATCCAATAACAGAGAAAAATCCAAAATAACTTTCTCAGATTTTAAGTTATGGAGTTAAGACATCATTCAGTGTAGATTATTTAGGTTTGTATGACAATTTTACAGGCTATAGACAAATCAGTAAAACATAAGCTAAGCTTCATTACATTAACCTTATTTGCAAATATTTACACTCTCCTATGTCAGTTAAGTAAACAATGCAAGCTATAGTCTTGTTGCTTGCTGCTTTCTGTGCATGGTACTGCCATTTCTCCTTACTCTTGGGCTTACAGTAACAGAGGACATCGGAGTTCATCAGCTGGAACGCTTAGTGGAGCTGCTGACCTCCAAAGAGTGTGAGGACCTCCTGATTGCCCTGTCTCGCCAAGAAGAGGACATTTTTCAGCACATTGACCGTCTGTCTCCAGAAAATAATCAGCTGGATCTCAAACTTCGAGCCAAGAGAGACACCTCTGCTGCGTCCACAGGTCATTTGAGACCTTTAACACAACTTAAATCACAGCGGGACCTTTTTTTATCAAGTGTTTGAAAAAAAAAAAAAAGGGGGGGAGGAGGTCATACTGGGTCATCAAATGTGCTTAGGTGGGGAAAACTGTAACATCAGACCCAGTGTGGCAGGTGTTCTCAGCGAATAGATCAGGACTGTTCATTTTCTATTTCAGAACAGCATCAGAGAAGGTGGCCCCTTGTCTGATATCAGCACATATTTTTTTCAGATTCACATTAATTATTACAAGGTTTTGGCTTTCTTTTTTTTTAAGACTTAATGTCTCATTTTGGTTCGGTTCTGGATTATTTGCGGCTGGAAAGATTTTTATTTGTGGTTTCTTTTTCACTCATAATTTTTTATGGTGTGTTACCATAGCAACAATACAAATACAGGAGGGAACAGCTAATTGACATCCCAAAGGATAAAATAATAGCCTACCTATGACCCTAAAAACCAGATCCACAGCAAACTTGGTGTTATTTTCAAATCCTAGGGAGTTAAATTCAACACTTTTAAATTGTCTCTATTGGTCCACACTAGATGTGTTAAACAGCTCACCCTGGTACAGAGATGGAACAAGACAAGACTTAACAGCTTAAACTGGACACTTATGTATAGTGTCAAAAGTCAACACCATGCACTAGTTTTAATCATTTAGCAATTTATGGTGTGGAGCTACATTGTAGCCACAGCTGCTCTGGGGCACGCTAACAGAGGCAAGGCTGCTGTACACAGAGGCCACCAGGACCTCTGTCCACCATCAACACTTTACCAATGTTTGTCAGGTATCTTGCCCAAGAACACAAATAAGCTGATATTTGAAAAGCCGGCCCTCCAGTTGCAGGAATCCTGCATCCTAAGCCAAGCAATATAAATATGATTAGCAGCAGTGTTCTGGACCAATGGTAGGATTGGCTCAGTCCGATGTAGAGAGCATTACAGTAATCAAGTTGAGTTGTAAGAAAGGCATGCATTGCTGTTTTAAAGTCTTTAAGATACAATGATATGGGCTTGATCAAAAAGACTAATTTTTAAGAAGCATGTATATCTGACTGTCATCAACACAAAAAATAAAAAACCTAGAGGATACAAATAAAAATGAAACAAGGAGGGGTCCAAGGATTGAGTCCTGCAGAATGCCATATTGTAGAGGAGTGGATGAGGATTCAAAATTATCTATGTTTTGTTCTGTCTGACACATAAGGCCTAAACCATTTCGGTGCAGTACCACTAAAACCAAATTGGGTCGGTTAACAAGATAATAAAATATTGTGTCCAACAGTATCAAAAGCAGCAATTAGAACAGCATATTCACCCAAGTTATTTTTTTCTCAGAGTATGTCCTTAAAAACTTGCAGACTCTGTCCCTCCTGTAGTTAGTTTTAAAACCAGAATGAAAAACATGAATGATCTTTTCTTCCTCTTTAAAGGGTTTGACCTTTTGGACAAGAGGATATTAAAAAAAGGCAGTTTTCTTTTGTTTTTATAGAGTATACAGTAATATATATGTATCCTAAATGTAGTCTTAGATGCATTTTTACTGAAATACTACAAGAGCCTACAACAAAACAACAGCCACATTTATTATTACCCTGTTTAAATGCTTTAAAACATAGTCAAATATTCTCAGATTTGGGAACATGAAGAGCCTTTTAAAGTTAAAGTAAAGATCTGGTATAAGTGAGGAAAAAGACCTTAAAACAATTGAAATTAAGCATTATTTATTATTTATGCATTTGACATTTTCTTATATCATTAACTCTATTTTGAGCTATTGTTTTAGCATCCTAGAAAGCAGTGGCATGCTTCTCTAACTACCATGTGTTTTGTGTTTAGAAGATGAAAAGGGTCAATGCAGAACAGCTCTGACAGATTGGATGCTAGAGTTTGGTGAGAAGACATACTACGACAAGCTCTCTCGCGCTTTGCAGCACGTTGGCAGAACAGACATTGCCTTGGGTGAGTTAAGCCGAACATGCATTACACGGCTTTCACTTTGTTCGCATATTCAGTGTTCAGACTACTCGACTGGTTATTGTTTCTCAACTATAAGACTGAGAAATACATAGTTGACATCTGGGCTTCCTGCTGGATTACTACAATAAAGTATTATGGCTATGCTGAGATTTTTTTTTTTTTTTTTTTTATTACTAAAAATTTATATTAGGTCTGCGAGATTAAATTATAACATTACAAAAATAAAGTTTTAATATTATGAGGAAAAATTTTGCAAGAATAAAGAAGCAGAGCATTTTGTCTCCCCTGTGTTAAAATGCTTGGTTCAGTCTGAGGCTGCTTTTTCATTGAAATGATCGACATGTCAGATCTTGATAACAATCTAAGCTTTAATTTTATGACTTCAGTTTCAAAATATTTTGACTTATTCTCATATTGTTACATTTTTTTTATAGTTAAGAAAAAACGTCTTAACATGGCCAAAATCCCCAGTCATTGATTGCATTTTAAAGAATGTTTTAAAGCAACTTAAATTATCTGATTGCATCAAACTCCCGTGGGAACAGTCTAGAGTATGATTGCACCAAAAGACAAGTAATTAACAATAACAGAAAATATTCTAAAATTCTAAGACGTTTCATTATTTTTTTGTTTGTTCATTTCAATTAGACCCTTAAATATGTACTTTTTTAGTCTTGGATATATTTGAGTTTCTCTCTGCATTTTTGTTTGTTTTTAATCATGTGATTGTGGTTAGTTTTGTATGTTTAATCCTAAGTGCCATTGTGCATTCAAGTTTATATATAATGTTGTGTAGTTTTACAAGTTAAGATTATTAAAAAAGCTATCTCCTTGCTATTGCTGTGTCCCAGCTTTTCTTTTTTATTTTAAGTAACACTGGTTTGCAGAGCTGCTCCCTGTCCAAATCTAACACAAAAGATAAAGCTTGTTTGTTTGATAATCAGTGAGGTCAGGTCGCTTCCTCTCTCAAAAATACTCAGTCCAGTCCTCATCTCCTCTCCTACTAAGTGGTTTTTGAGCCAACTTGCTCTGACGACTATCCACAACTTCTGCAGACTGACAAGAGACTCTCCTGGGAGTCAGGATAAGAATTGGGCAAAGAGTCTTCCTAGCTTTAAATAAACACGTAAAGAAAGCTTGTCGCTTGCAGCACTTAATCATTTTTTTTTTTCATGGATAGAAATTTGTATTAACCTACTAATTGGATAGTTGTCAAATCAAAGCTGCTCAATTTTCATGTATATTACCATTGATAGTAGCAAATCCCAAAAGCAAACTGCACAACATTTCCCCTGACAAAAAGAAATTGGAACAAAGCCTCATTCTGCTGCATCTCTACACATTTTCAAAATTGGTTTATTCCTGTCACAATGGCCTCTCTAAAACTTGAACAACAAGGAAGAATTGCTTTATCACTTTGAGGTTTCTTTTAATTGGAATGTGAAGACTGGCATAGTTTGCACACTGCCAATCTCTGGCATGTGCTACAGTCCAGTGTGCACATCAACTCTGCAGCTGAGCAGCAATGGAAAGGAGAAGGTGTAAATGATCTGACAGAGGACTCAGTGGAGCTGACACAGGCCCGACAACAAACCATCTGCTCCTTTCATCAGCAGCTTTGGAGATACAAAAAATAACACAAGAAAAATATGCAAAGACAAGTTGTAAAACAGGAATTTGGAAGGGTGGAAATCAGCGTGATGCAGGATGTAGCAATCATTGATCATTTGACTGAAGTTCTGAAGAAATCCACTCATGTATACTAATTCAAAAAGTTCAATTTGTCAACCGAAAGCATAACCTATCCCACTCAATTTCTCTCATATTATCAGAACAACATTCAAGTCATTCACTAATTTTTTATGGAATATCCAATATTTCCTATTAATTGTTTTTAGCCACTGCAGGCGTTTGTTTTGGGTGAAAGTAAACTATACTGTCCTCCTGCTGCTGAGTCAGAGCATATTTTCCCACATACATAATGTGAATCTAGCCGTCTGGGGATTACACATCAATGCTCCTTTTGTAGACTACACATCCCTCCAAGAGGTCAGTATCATTACCATAATCTATTAGAAATGAGTTTTGCACCAGCATTACCTACACTCAGTAAAGGGGACTTTGCATATGTTATACCATGATCTAGGTGAATACTCAATTCTGATTGGCTGTAGGGTGTCCATATAGAAGTTGTTGAAGGACACCTATAAAAAAGTTCCACCAAGACATTAAGTTATTGTGCTGGTTCCTTCTGAAATTATATTTTTTATCATGTGGCATCATATATTTAGTTGCAGTTTCTGTGGTCATAGCCGGTAACCGTGGTGACACATAAAAACAAGAAATATTGCATAGCCCATTCAGCTTCTTGTGGAAATACTACAGGTATTGCTATTTTAAAAAATTAAACTGTTATCATATTGATTTAATAAGTATTTTGGTTATAAGTGACCATGGTAAAGGCAAGATAATGCCATTTAAGGTCTCAATTGTCAGAAATTAATGGACTTTGCAACTCTGAGACGTCCGTTAAAAAAGGGATGGTGCCCAACGCAGTGTCTATTATCAGAGATAATGGATGATGTGGAGACATGAATCCACAAGGATGCTTAAGTCAATTTATAATGTTTTGGTGAGTTTTTTTTTTTTTTACCATTAAAATTTGAAATTTTTCACAACAAATAGCTGAACTATTTAGTTTCTCTCATTGTGACATTTTGCCTCGGTAACCAGCTCTGTCCGTATCATTTCTGTATCATTTCAGAGGAAATTTCAGCCCACTGTCCCCAAAACCATCTGAGATAGTTTGCCTCAAAGTTTAGATTTAAATACCTTAAATGCTTTTTCACATTAATGTATTATTTTAAGATATATTTGATAATAATGTTTAAAAAAATGTATTTATAATAATTGTTTTATTTCATAATGCTAAAAACGTAAATTCTTTCACCATATCATTTCTTTTTTTCTCCCATTTTTCAAAAGGCACACCACTAGAGTTGCACGGCGGCAACATTTTTTAAATACAAACTGGAAATCCAGACTAGAAGTTGGTTACTTTTGCAGAATTTCTAAACCAACACTGAGTAACTTTTTAAACTACTTAAAATGTTTTCATAACTTTTGTAATTATATGTCGTCTTACACCTAGTTCTACACCTAGACACGTCTGCCATGGCCACAGGGTGTGTTTATCGAGTTCAGCGGCACTAAGTATCTTTGAAGAGGGTGCCAGTAACCCTGCCACACAAAAACACTCCAGATGTGCAGAGAGTTTTAAGGCATATGTCCCTCCCCCTTTTCCCCCGTTTGTTATAAAGACAGAAGTCGACGCGACTTTGTTACCCTGAGAGACTATATTTGTGTAAATTGTGCAGGGCTGATATTGAGGCGATGCTGCACCTTCCTGCTAGGATCTATACATGAATTTACTGTGAAATCATCAAACATAACATTATGTTTATCTGTGTTAAGGCCCATCAGCACATCAGTCGTTGAAGAGTCGGATAAGGTGGGGCGGCAATGCAGGAATATGGTACAAAACCAAAGTTGAACATTTTGTTTTATTATGACACTTTTTTCCCAACAGTTAGATTCATTACCTCATCGCTATTCGTGTTTCACACAGCCACTGGAAATAGAAATGTTTCGGGACTTTACCACACTATGCGCTGGTCGTTATGGGAAATTTTGTCTTCCTTCAGGCAAAACAAAACAGCTTTTGGAGGGGAGTCAAAATTGACTGGAAAAACTGAAAGTTCTTTAGTATTGCTTTAAATTCAAGTTAAGTCAAGTCAATTAAAAGTTTTAATTTATGGGGAACTATCCCTTACTTTTTATTACATCGTAACAATATCGTAACATCGTAAAAAAGCATGTGTGATATGTTTTGTATTTGTCAGTTGTAATCCTTATGCATAGAATTTTTTTACATCCAAGGAAAACTACAGCAGTTTGGGTTTGCGTTGGTGAAATGCCTTTAAAATTTTAAAATGTTTTGTCATTGTCTCCTTTCTATCTCCTCTTTCTTTCATCTTTTCTCCTTTTTTTCCTTTTTCTTCTTCTGTTTTTCTGCTCTATTTACATTGCAGTGTCCATATAAACTGTAAAACTCTCTGCATAATTATATGCAGGTAGTTTTAATATGTATGAAACAAGTGGAGCCATATGGCAATTGCCATATGGCTCCACTTGTGAAAGTAAAATCTGTTGGGCTCTTTTTGGCATGAATACAATTATTCTTATTGCCACATTGCCAGACAGGACACAGTTTAAAAAAACAAACAAATAAAAAATAACATATAATAAAATAAAATTTAAAGTGTCAAAAAGACAAGCAGATAAAAAAATTATAGTTCATATTCACCTTTATAGTAATAATCCATATTTAACTTAAAAAGGCATGATTGAGGTGCTTCTCTGGAACACGTTAGCTTTCCTTTGTTATACAGCAGGCATCACATTCATCCGTCCTTTTTGGCATAGCTTTATGCTCAATTTAGCCCTTCCTGATCCAACTAGGATACAAGTTCAAAATTGAGCCCTGACCTAGTCGCTGACTGCTACACCACAGGTTTAGCAAATAATATTTAATGTAAACAAGGATTTTGACATTGACAGAATTAAATTACTTTATATTGAACAATAAGGTCATACAATTCTCATATTTTGAAGAAAATCAGGAGGCCACCTCAATAATTAGAGTTTTAATGATGAGACCTGTGTTTCACCAAGGATGGTTAGATGGTTTAAAGAGACCTTAAAAAAAAACATTGATCTTAAAGGTAACATTTTTCATGTGAGATCGTCTCTGTGTTTTTGTCTTTACAGAAGTGGGGAAGAACATCAACCAGGATAAAGCCTTAAGCTTGAAGCGCTACGTTGAGGACTACGAGAAACATGCCAAATCCCTAAACAGCCGCTTCACGAATGCAGATGCAAATAAGGAGCAGCGGGCTCATCAAAGATTCAGAAAAATAAAGAGTAATATTTCCTCACAGTTTAAAAAATGGACATTAACTTAAACAGAGAGAAATAGCCATGCAGAACCAAGGATCCTGGTATACAGTATGTGAGGAGGAAATCCTCAGGCTGCAAAGGGGGCCTTTTGGGTTATTGTCTGAATGATGTTTCTGTGAACCCTGAATCTATTAATCTTTAGATGAGATGCTGGATTAGATGGGGTTGCTTTGGGCATGCTTCCAACTCATTACTCCTCAACATCAACACTCTCAATTTACAAAGTATATTTCCCAGGACATTTACAGATTCAAAAATGTAATTATCACCTCTCCATTTATTTACCCTCCTTAGAGATTACTTCAGGTGCAAAGTTGTGAAAAAAGGTGTTCCCATGGTTCTTATAATCTTAAACACGTTTGGCTCTTTTGTGCTCTGTTCAGTTGGGGATCTGACGTGGCGTGACCTGGATCTGATCGTGAGACGAGCTCCTGTACCTCCGTATCCCAGGGGGCCTCTGGATGTAGTTCTTCCCATTTTTTATGGCCTCCTGCTGAGCTCAGTTTCATGTGCAGTTGTACTCCACATCGTTATGCTCGTCTGCCAAAGGTCAAGTTGATTTTAGGATGAAATCAGGATTTCAGAAGCAGAAATGTTTGTCTGTGTGAAGAGAATAAGAACAATGTAGCATTGCAAAGAGGTCAATAAAAACTTCACACACCTTTTCTATTTCATGTGTATTTTCTGTAAGATTTCCTCCAGTCTTTGTATCAAAACCCATTCACAACAACAATGCAAAATCTAGTTTACTTTGCAGCACAGTTGAGAAGTTTAACAGCTGCTGCCAGAATGGATATTTTTTTAGATAAAATGATTAGCTGTGCTTTAGGGTTTTTTTAAGCAATTGCCAGTATTGTCAAACCAGGAGCTGTCTGCATTGTGGTGTGACAGATGCACTGGAACCCAGCCCTCACACCTCACAGGTTATTCCAGTGTTGCTCTGATAGGGATGCCACTTTCCATTTCCCCTCTAAGTGACGGCACTGTGCCCGTCTGGCATTGAAGAACAGCTAATTATCCGGCCCGGCGTCCATTTCCCCCTGAGCTTGCCCGATACCTCCACAGGCAATCCAAAGAACTAATAACAATGACAATACCAGCAGACGATGTAGAGCTCTTGTTTGTAATAACAGCATCTGCTGGGGAAATGAAGCCAAAAAGGAAGTACAGAAGTTTAGTTTTGAAAATGCAAGAAAATTGAAAACGGGTGACATTTAAAACTGTGATACAATATTTACCTCAGACTGGTAGACATTGAAACTAAACCGAAAAGAAAACATTTTTTTATGAGATGTGTTAAAATCTGTGGGCTTTAATTAGGAAAGTCATTTGCTCTCAACAGGATCATTCTCAACTCCTTCCTTCAGACAGTTTTATAATACCATGACTGAAAAAACCCATGGCACTTGACTACATTCTTTCTTATTGCTCCCAGTTTCTTACGCGGTCCCCACTTTCTTCTTCATAATTGAGCTAATTACTTCATTACACAAATCTAGCCTAATGTGTTTCAGGAGGGCGACAGCTTGGATTAACGCCGGCACTGAGCAGCAATTACAGTCTATTAGTCCATAAATCAACATTTAAACAAAATTATAGTACCAACAACTGTATGAGCAAAGCTCTGAAAGACCAAAAGGCCATGCTTTTCAGTTTGGTAATTACTGAAGTACATCGCGTCAGAAAAATGTTTATTACCTCAGAACTTTTTCATAAACTTCAGCAAATTCTGGTTTGATTTAATGTGATGGATTAACACATGCATGATTTCTGCCTGAATTTGTAAATAATACATGATGGAGGATTTTGATTTGGAAGGAGTAAAATTTGATATTTACTTTTGTTTTTAAAGAATTTTCTTCAAAAATTGTGTAGTTGTATCCAGCAACTTTGACTGGGATGTTCCACATGGAGTCATTGCACTGCTGGGTGGTGAACCCTCCCTCTGGTCTCAGCTCTTTGGTTACAGGTTTTCTTTCAGGATTTGTTTGCGTTAAGTTCCATGCATTCAACTTATTAACTCTCACCAGTTTTAATGTCCATTCTTATGAAAAACATCCCCATTGCAGCATACAGCCACCATGCATGTCAAGTAAAAAGATGGTGGATTCAGGGTGATGTTTTTCCGCCAAGAATGCATATTTTGGCGCCATCTAACAAGAAAGTCTTCTGACTAATGTTTACTGTCCCCCACATGATTTGCAGCAGACAACTCATGGCTTCTTTCTACTATGGCTGCCTTTTTCCTGATCCTGATTCATGATTTGTGAGTTGTGCATTTATGTAGCTCCTCCTACCACAGGCTTGTTGCTTGCTGCTTTGATTAATGATTCTCTTTTCCACCTTGTCAGTTAGATTGACTTCCATGTCCTGGTAGGATTTGCATCTGTTCCACATTCTTCAGCTGATCACCTAAACCGGGCTCTCTGATATGTTTTGTTTGGCTTAGTATCTCCTAACCTAACTCTTCTTAAAATGTTTCCAGATCTCTCTACCTGACCTGTTTACTGTGTTCCTTAGCTTCATGGTGTTGTTCTATTCACCATTAGTCTCAAATACACGTCCAAGGCCTTCAGAGCAAAGGTGGATTATGCTGAGATTAAATGCATACAGGTGGATACTGACTAATTTTAATGTGATTTCTGAAATGGAAATTAGTTTGAATATAAATGACTAAAAAAACAGATCACACTATCCAGGTTTTTCTAAATGTCTCTTAAGATAAGGCTTTAAAAAAAATGTTGTAGTGTATCCTGACAAAATATGGAATCTGTAAATTATAAACCAGATTTTAAGAAGTTATCATTAAAATATGTACTGCATTTTATTTTGATTATTGATTATTTTTATTATCAATTTATACTTTTTTAACATTGTAAATAATTTGTCTTGCTTTGTCTTCTTTAGTGGAAAAATAGCTCTTTATATGTAATATTAAACATCTGTCTTTGAACGTTGTTTTTGTTTCACATTTATCACTAAACTCCCCTGGCAGCAAAGGACAGCTCTATATGACTAAACCTTCTCTGTCCTTCAGTTTTCCCCCTCTAGCTGTTAAGATGCTGCAGGTGCTGACTCTGACAGGTTCACCTGCTGTGGGCTCACCCGCATTTCTGTAAGCAGTGGAGAGGAAAGCTGTACTTTTGTATGCCTGACTGACTCAGAGAAACAACATGCCACAAGGGGCCATCATGGTTGTGACACTATTTTGCAAGAATCCATCAGGAAGCTTCTTTCAGCTGGCTTAAAATAAAAAAAATGAAAACAAACTCTTCAACATTGTTGAGGCTAACTGTGAAACTGGGGAAAGTTAGTGAACCCTGCTATATAGACTGATAGCAGTCTATATATATATATTGATTATAGATGTGTGTTTCTCTGTCTGCTTGTTTTACAATCTACTTAGTGTCTGAGATCCAACCTTGTATTTTTTATAGAGTTGCAAATGTGCAGCAAATACATACACAGGAAAACTGGACAAACACACAAAACACATGCAAAAGAAAAAAAGGCTGTGACAAGAAATGCCACGACTATAGAACATTGAGGCCAGCAAGTTCAGAAGCACTGCAAATACAAAACCCGCTGAAAACACATGAACAGTGCTTACAGACATAAACAGGATAAAATATTTCAAAGGAGAACTTACCTTTTCTTTCTTCTTTTGAAATTTAATCTTAGTGGGCATCCCCTTTGTGTTTAGTAAAGCTGAGGGTCTGATCCAAAGACATGAATCTATTGTAAGATGTGTTTATGGTTTGGTCCCATATGAGCAATGTTGGGAGTAACAGCATTATATATTAAAGTCGTAGGGAAGCTGCTGTTTGAACTGTTGTATTTCCAAATTCTCCCGATTGGTGCCCAACTCTACACGAGTGCATAAAGTGAATGTGATTGGTCGTTTATTAAGGGGGCGGGATTGTTGTGCCGGAAGGTTCGCAAGCTTTTCGGTTGTGGCCGGTGTCTTGAAAGCATATTGCGGAAACATGCAAAAGGAGGAGAGTTTTGTGTCGGAGGTTGTGGATGCGTCTCCTCCATCTTACATTTTTTTATTTAGAGAAGGAAAGCGGGGACGAAGTTGTTGTGGAAGGGGACGCCAGGGCGGCAGAAGCTTGGTTTGGTGTAGAAGGCTTACAGCTGTACATGTTTGAGCCCTCGCCTCGCAATGCTGCCAGTTCTGTTAGCTCTACGCCTGCTGAAGACACAGACGTCCATCCCCATGAACACTGGGACGCAACTCAATGGGAAAGGAAATGATTCTTATTTCTTATTTCAACCGTTGCGTATATTAGCTGCAACATATGAATCAACATGCTGTGACCGAAAAATGTGATTGACAGATGACCGTTGATATATTATTGGCTGAATTTAGGTGTACAAGCTGACGTATAACTCACCGGCCTGCATAAGATAAAGAAAAAAAATACACAGATTTTAAGACAGGATTTTTTTATAGAAATTTTCTAAATGTCGGGACAATATTGTTTGATAAAGAGTACATTTATATACATGTTTAAGCCAGAATGATTTGACATTGAAATATGACTTCCCTACGACTCTAACGGCATTGATAACAGTTATTTTTCTAGTGACAGAATAATCTAACCAATTACTTTTCAAATATTAATTATGCCCTTACATTGCCTGCAGTCTAATGCAGCACTTTATCCCGATCAGTCAAAGTGACTTTTCATAAATGCACTCGCTGCTGTGAGAAGAGAGAGCTTTCAGTGCAGAGATGCAGGTATATGATTGGCTGAGGGAATCTAAAGTGAGTAGGTGTTTCTCTGAGCAAGACCCTTAACCCCTGATTGCTCTCCACGATGGCAGCCCGCTGCTCCCCAAGGGAGTTAAATGTGAAATCAATAAAGTTCAATTATAAAATTATTAGTATTCTTTCCGCCCCTGTTATTTTTTTGCCAGGTAAAGCCTGTTAATGTGCAATAAATCACGCTTTTTAAATATTTGTTTTATTTTTTCTTTGGTATAAACATTCAAGAGACATTTTATAAGTTTTTACTGAAAAATATCCTTTAAAAAGCCTTTTTTTATTCAACTCTTCATAATTGAAATATTGTTTGATGGGCAGACACATCTGTAGGTCAGCGCTGATGCATCTGTAAGCCTGTAGCCTATTTTCCTGAATATACTTTGAGTTGGAGGTTCCCATGCTGGTTCTGAGGATGTGACGTCAAATGCATCCATGTTAAATGGGTCAGACCATAGCAAAAAATTATAGATTTTATTCCAGATGGATTTGTGGATCCTCAGAAGCGTGCGGCATTCAGCTTTTATCAAACACCAATGGCAAATCCACATGAGGCTTTTTATGTGGGGGAAAAAAGCACCTTGTTTTATATGAGTGCGAGCTACAAGAACGAGGATATGAGTGTCGTAGTTCTGTGCTTTGGCCACAGGTGGCAGTATCATTGGAAAACTCCATAATGCCTGTTTAAGCGTATTAATCACAAAAATTAATACATAAATGTTTTGTAATTGAATGTCTCAGCTTTCTTGTGATGCCACAAACACCAAATTGTTTAGATCAGTATGCTCTCACATATGTAGTCATTTTGATGGATTTTTCTATTTAGTCAATTAATATTGAACATTCTACCATTACTAAAGTGACACATGGTGGCCCATTGTTGAAAGG